GCCACAGATCTTTGCTTTTTGTCCATATATCTTGGTCAGAGAATTTCTTATTGCAGATGGTAGTGATTAATTTAGAGACACAATTTTTTGAGACTCATAACTATCTGACAAGTCAGTGTGAATGATCAGCTGTAGACACATTATTTAATATCAACTCTACTCCCCAAGGCTCTGGGAAAAAGGAAGGGGGTGGGCAAAAAGAATGAAAATATTTCCTTAGCATGATATCCAGTTCTTTCCTGAATATGAAAAGTCAGTTAAAGTAGCTCCTGAGGACAGGGTATCTAGGAATTCATAAATAAAGTCATTTGGCTTCAATGATAATTTTTCTCACCATTATTTATAGTACAAATGTCTTTTTCTTAAGCCATGATCTTCAAGTATGACCAATGAACTAAGCTAGAAGTTATAGACTAGTGTATTTCTTCTCTCTAGGGTATTACTCTTCATTCTTTACAAGTTATAGGGACAACACAGAGGGTTTTGTTAACAACAAATTCAACTGCATTAGTTCTCTATCTCTTGAGTCTATTATTGTTACTGGAACATTGATAAAAAAAGCTGAATCATCATAAATAAAAATGCAACACAAGTGAATAAAGTGTGCCTGGATTGGTCATATCTTACATTGGGAATTTAGATGGTCACAGAATCAATTAAAAAACGTATATGACAAGTTTTATGGAGCTTTATTGTCACACTTATTCACACTCTTTACTTAGAGCTAGTTACATTTCCCAGCAAACTTTGAGGTTATTTCCATAAAGAGCAGGAGCAATACTGGAAGTTGTACTAATACTTGCTATGAACCGTTAATTGCTTGTTGATATTATAGTAGTTGATCGATGAGAACATTACCTTGAACTAATTTTGAGTTATAACTCTTTCAAAGTTGTCTCACATCAATCTTCCAAGTACTAAAGACTTTAAATTTTAAGTTATTCATTTTAGCATCCTCTTTGTGGTTAAATTTAGAGACAGTTATTAGAGTAACAAACATAGGATGTTAAATAGCGAGAAATTAAGAATGCTAGCATTTCCAAGTTTCTACATGGAAGGCAGAAATGTAGACAGAGGTTCATTGAAGGTGAGCACTGCTTCCAAGGTGGAGAGAAACTAGGATAAAATTGAGAGAAGTCAGTTGCCCTGGAAACTGAAGCCAGCCAGCCAGTCATATATGACTAGATGAGATCACAGCAGCACTTGGGACGAAAAATGACTGGGTTATTCACATTATAACACTATGAATGCTGTCACCAGAAGTTATCTGCTATTAATGCAAATCTTATGCACCCAGGAGAGAGCAGAGGTTTTGGAATTAAGATTCCAAATGGGATAACAGATAAACCTGGTCAGGAGGAAATCATGCTGCAGTCTCATGGGCCTTGCACTGTGCTAGGAATAGAGACTCCATTTTATTATTATAAGGTTATATAATTCATATCCTTGGGACTTCATTACTGATAATGGAGTTATAGTTCCTAGTATTAAAGGTACCCTTCCTGGGATGAAAATACTTGGAAGTTTGTAAAAATCTAAAGATATACAATTCTAACAGTCCAACGAAAATCTAGAAGTATGTTAGAGAGTTTCTTTGGAGCTAGTCTTAAGAGTCTTTATAACCATCATCTATTTGAGAATCATGCAAAGTGAGAGAAAGTTGTTACGTGCATGGGACATTAGAAAGGTTTCCATGAACAAGGAAATAAATTCTGTCCCCATTCATAGGTATTTTTTTTAGCTTCTATGTAGATGGAATACCAATCAATCATAAAATTTAGAATACCAAAGAAGATGTAACTGAGGTCCAACTGATGAACACAACTTTATTCTTTACAATATATTGACAAGATGTGACTTCTGAGATATCATTAATTTCAAATAGGGAAATAGAGGTCACAGTTTGCTTGGATTATTTCACATGGCTAACTACTTCTGTGTGACCATGCTTCATGACCCTGCTTCATTCTTAGAAGTTTCAATGTTTAGAAGACAAATAATAAATATCACCATAAAATTTTATAGGCTGTAAATCATCATTCCTAACCTCAATTTGTACTATAGAGTTATAGTAATAAAAACAGTGTGATACTGTACAAAAACAGACATGCTGATCAATGGGGTAGAATTCTAGACTAAGTACTGAATCCATACAGCTATGGACACCTGCTTTTTATTTTTTTAAAATGTGTTTTTGTTGTTGTTGTTGTTGTTTGGTTTTTCGAGACAGGGTTTCTCTGTGTAGCTTTGGAGCCTATCCTGGCACTCGCTCTGGAGACCAGGCTGGCCTCGAACTCACAGAGATCCACCTGCCTCTGCCTCCCTAGTGCTGGAATTAAAGGCATGCAACACCAACGCCCGGCTTTAAATGTGTTTTTTAAAATTGAAATTAGAAACAATATTGTTTTACATGTCAATCCCAGTTCCCTCTCCCTTCCCTCCTCCCCTGCCCCTACCGACCCACCTATCGCACCTACTTTCTGTTCCTCAGCAAGGGTGAGGCCTTCCACAGGGGATCTTCAAAGTCTGTAACATCATTTAGAGTAGGACCTAGGCTCTCCCCCATGTGGACACCTGCTTTTTGATAAAGAAGTCAGAAATACACAATGGAAAATAGTACCTTCATCAAATGGTGCTGTTCAAACTTGATGACAACATGTAGAAGAATCCAAATAGATCTATATTAATTACCTAGCACAAAACTCAAGTCCAAATTAATTAAAGACCTCACTGTAAGGCTAGAAACACGAAACTTGATAGAAGCCAAAGTAAGGAATAGCCTTAAACACACAAGCTCAGGAAATGTCTTTCTAAACAGACACCATTAGCACAGGCACTAAGATCATCAATTAATAAATGGGACCTCACTTAACTTAAGTTTCTGTAAGGCAAAGGAGGCTGTCATTCAGTAAAAGCAGCAGCCTAAAGAAGACAAATGAAAACCAAAGTCATTTTGTTCCCATATTTTTCCCCTCTTCTATTTTCCCTGGCTTTATTGTTATAGGGCAAGGAGTAAGATAGTCATCTTGAAAATTATAATGGCATAAGATCTAGGAGACAAATTGATGTAATCAGTCACAACTAAAGATGTACTTTAAATAATTAACAAACATATCAGGAGGCACTTGAAAGGCCTTTAATATCAGATGATGAAGTCTGAGTTTTCATAGGTTTTATAGAATTATGAAAAAAGGAGGGGCTGAAGGGGGTCCTGGGATTTTAGGTGTAGAGACAAACTGTAGATTGGGGAGGATTAATATTGTAGTTCATTTAGAGCTCCAGTGAGATATTAGTATCTAAATTAGTAGGAATTCAGAATGATACAATGTTAATTTATATAACTATTGCTGATTTTGATGATGTCCAATTGAACCCAGAGTCTCAGGCATGTTGGGCCATTGTTCTACCATCCTGTTCTATCTCCAGGTCTAATAAATCTTTTAAAAATTCAGATATGAGAATTTTATCAATATATAAAAATGTTACATTGAGGTTATATAATGTTTTTAATTCCCAGTAAATCTATCCATTTATTTATTCAGTCTCACACCATTCATTAAACAGCTAGCAGCTGCCAGTAAGTAATATTTTACTCATTATAAATCTGTGAACAGAATCACAAAATACATGTAATTTCTTAAAAGTAAACTTAATACTCCCACTTCTAATACAAGGCCAAGGTTAGAGTTTAACAGCAGTTTAGAAATTAAATTAACTTTGACCATTAATCTTCTTGTTCCTTAACTCACCACTTTGATTTGTTCTTCCTCTAAAAGATTTTTCTACTACCTTCTACAAAATTCCATATAATTAAAAATAAAGACATAAATTAATATATCTTATTTCATTACCCAATTTTGTCACTTTTATGTGTTTATAAGAATCACTTATTTAGTAGTAGCTTTGAAGTGGCGCTGCTCAGATTTCAATCTACAAAATCTTGGGGGAGTTTTGACTTCCTGCTGATTCAGTGTCTTCGATGGTTTTATAAGGATTAAAAAGGAAATGTGTAGCAAATCTTATAATCAGACAGAGTAAGCACTCAATTATTAGATATCATCAATATTGTTATTTTGGATAGCACATCTGATCTACTCCAGAACAAGTAAGAATTCAAGTGCAAGGGTTACAGATTTTTTCTCTTTTAAGTTTTTATTGTTTGATTTAATTAAAAAAGTGGTGTCTTATCTTTGTGTAGGATGTATTGGAAAAGAGGACTTGGATAAATAGGTTTAGTTTTTGAGTAGTTAAGGACATTGTATACTTTTCCCCAAATGGCGACTTGGGAAATCTGAGAGACTGTTCTATGACCCATTTATGCTGGAAGGACAGTTCTTGTCTATGTTTCTATTACCTGAGCTGACTTGACAGTTTTAAAACATGAATGAAATATTTCATGACTTAATTTATGGATAAAAACATAGAATACACTAGAAATATTCTATGAATAGTTTCATACATTGATCTAAAAAAACGATTGTGATGCAAGTTAAGGCCTTTAATTAATAGACAATGTGAAACCAAGGCTACTGGAGGCACTAATATAATTTGATCAGAATGTCATCTTTGACAACATAGGTGCCTTTATAAATTGCCTGCTAAATGCTATTTTCCTTTTACAAAACAAATAAGGGTTGGGCTCTGATGACTCAGAAATGTTTGCATTCATATTGTACAGTTTCATATCATTTTCACCAGTTCTGTTATGACTCACTGGGACTTTGTTAGTTTTATTTTGTAGACAATGTTGCATTAACTGAAGAAGTGCTAGTGTTAGCTAGCCCTTCAGGGTAGTTGTACTTGAGTCAATAAGTTATTTATACAAATGCAAGGTGAATATTGTGGTCTGAGACCATGATTTGGAGCAGTACACATGGATAATATTTGAAGTGTGGCAAAAAGCATATCATTGTTTTGTTTATTTTATTAGAAAGCATTTGTCATCAACTTAACCTAGTATTTGCTTATCAAGAATTCAAACAGCCTTTCCTTTTGGTGGTGCGGGGCGGCAAGATGGCAGTGCAGATTTCCAAGAAGAGGAAGTTTGTGGCCGATGGCATCTTCAAAGCTGAGCTGAATGAGTTTCTCACTCGGGAAGACAGCTACTTGGGAGTTGAAGTCCGAGTTACACCAACCAGAACAGAAATCATTATTTTAGCCACCAGAACACAAAATGTTCTTGGTGAGAAGGGTCCTCGAATCAGAGAGTTGACTGCGGTAGTTCAGAAGAGGTTTGGCTTCCCTGAGGGCAGCGTAGAACTTTATGCAGAAAAGGTGGCCACAAGACGTCTGTGTGCCATTGCTCAGGCAGAGTCTCTACGTTACAAACTCCTAGGAGGACTTGCTGTGCGAAGTGCCTGCTATGGTGTGCTTCGGTTCATTATGGAGAGTGGGGCCAAGGGCTGTGAGGTTGTGGTGTCTGGGAAGCTCCGAGGACAGAGAGCAAAGTCCATGAAGTTTGTGGATGGCCTGATGATCCACAGTGGAGACCCTGTTAACTACTATGTTGATACTGCCGTGCGCTATGTACTCCTCAGACAGGCTGTGCTGGGCATCAAAGTGAAAATCATGCTGCCCTGGGAAACAAGTGGTAAAATCAGCCCCCAAAAGCCTCTGCCTGATCATGTGAGCATTGTGGAACCTAAGGATGAGATCTTGCCTACCACCCCCATCTCAGAGCAGAAGGGTGGGAAGCCAGAGCCACCTGCCATGCCCCAGCCAGTGCCTACAGCATAAACAGGTATTGTCTGTGGTGACTGTCCTGGGCCAAACAGACTTGGTTTTTTTGTTGTTTGTATTTTTTACTGTTACTTCTGATGTTGCACTGTTTGAGTTTGTTTCTTAATATGGGGGAGGATACCAGTTGGAGTATGGTGCCCAGCCCAACAGATCAGAATGGGTATTTTCCTTCACTGTCTTTGATCAAGAGTTTCCAAATACTCTTGTTAGTCATTCCACCCTTTAGCAGCCTTGTCAAGGTTTAAGTAACAAGCTTTGTGTGGGGATGTATTTAAGGCAAACCCCGCCCTTGCACATAAGCGGCATGTGTCCCCAGCCTGGAGGGCTACGTGTGATATTTTCCCCCTGGCATGTAAGAAGTCTTCAGTGGGCCAGCAAAATGCTTTCTATGAAAGTCTGTGACACTGGCGTGCACTTACCCTGCTTGTAGAAAGTAAATTGGCCTGTTTAGCCATGCAATGCTGTTTTAGTTGCAGCATTCCTAGAGTAAAAAGAACTTTTGATGCCATTGAACCTAAAGCTCAGAAATTTGGAATGTAAAGCTGTCATTGCAACACACATTTCTAAATCTTTACCCATGTTTTGGAAAATACAATAAATTCAGAAATTGTCAGTAACTGAATTGCTATGTCTTAAAAGCATTTACTATTGACATGTTTTGGGAGAATTAAAGTTAGCTTGGAAATTTAAAAAAAAAATGAAGAATTCAAACATATTGAAAAATAGATTGATATTAGTAAATATTAATATCTTTTACATATAGAAGTGTCATAGTGCCACTCTATTACATTGAATCATTTAGACTTGTTATTTTCATAGATTTATTTTATAAATTTATTTTTTCTGCTAATCTTTTTATTTTAAATTGGTTCTTCACAATCTTAAGTGACAAAATATTCTCAATATTGGCAATTATATATTGCTTTTATATGCAAATTTAAAATAGGATACATAAATTGCAAATTAATTTTGTTACTGTAGGAATTATTTGAAATATACTGGCTGTAGTCACTAATGTAGATTTACAGGATTCATCTTTCACCATTGTAGTTCTGTACCCATTCTTGATGAAAAAGGGTAGATTTGACCAACTCCCCTTTAATAGGGTTTCATTTTGGTTTTGTCAGAGATTAAAGTAGCATAAATCACATTAACATGGAAAAAGTACAATATTTATTTAGTGCAATTTTGTCAGTGCCACCCAAAGACAAGATAAACAAATACTTAAAGAACTGATGAATGAAAAGCAATTATTTAGATATTGATGTAGACTTTAAAAAGTGACAAGTTGTGAGAAAAGCAACTACATTTTGCATGAAGGCTTAAAGGATGAACAACTTTTAGGATGTTCATGCCTTTCTTGGTCTCTACCATTAGTAGAATCATTGTTTTCCTAATGAAAGGATGGATTCTGTCACATCTCCCAAAAATTAGAATGGTCCTATATTGTCCATTTCTCAAATATCTTTAATTCATAAATAACCAAAGTGTCAGGTTGCATGACATGTTTTGGACTACTTGATTTTAGGAGCCTAATATTCCCTGGTTACCCTTTAAATGCAAGCACCATTCTAATAGCTGGATCTATGGGTTTAATCTTCCAAACATAATTGGCATCATGCAACATCTGTCCTTTTGTCCTTTTGTATCTGATTTAATGTAACTAGCAGAATATATTCCATTCTTATCTATATTGTCAGAAATGTCAAGAATTCCATTTTAAAAGTATGGATAATCTCTCTCTCTCTCTCTCTCTCTCTCTCTCTCTCTCTCTCTCTTTCTCTCTCTCCTTTCTCTCTCTCCATCACCTGACAATGCTAGTTGCTTTGCTAATTCAGTTCTTATGAATGATGCTATAATGAAAATTAATGTTTATTAATGTTTTCCATGCATTTAAACTATAATTACAAGGCAATCTGGTATACCTCTCAATTCAATATACCAGTTGTTTGTATTTCCCTAGCATGTATTTACATTCCTTTTATGTGTGCATGTGATTATTACAGATTTTCTAAATCATTTCAGAGTAAATTTGAAATGCTGTCTTTTATTTTAACTGTATGTTATTAATTCTTAAGAGCAAGGGCATTCTCTTAATAACTATCTACCTCACAATTACTAAAATAAAAATGGAAGATAAAATAAATTATAAATAAAAATAAAATTCGTCAAAATAAAGGCCATAGTCTTAATTTAATCTGTATCTATGAAAAACAAGCTGTAATATTTGCTAGCTTAGAATAATGCCTAACTTTGCATTACCTCTGGGAATACTGTTGTTTATATTTGAATACCTTGATATTCTGACAAGGTGCTTTGGGTTTAAAACTAAACATTTGAGCTCTGGGTTCTCCTATTGTCACTTTGTAACATTTTAAATTTATCAATGGAAATATTTAAAAAAGACAGCTGGGTGGTGGTGGCCCATGCCTTTATTACCAGCATTCAGTAGGCAGAGGCAGGTGGATGTCAGTCAGTTCAAAGCCAGCCTGGTTTACCAAGCAAGTTCTAGCACAGTCAGGACTGTCACCAAAAACAAAAACAAACACAAACGAACAAAAAAGAGTGTGCAGATTAAAGTTGACTACTGTGTTCTGTGGAGTAAGAACTCAAAACTATGTCTTTCTATGTGTTTGGATACATAAATTTAGAGTTGTTAGAAAATTTCAAAATGACCCTGAAAATCAACTTACTAGCAAAAACAGCAAACACAAAGTGTTTTCCGTCTATGATCATAGAAATATGAGTTATAATTGGCAGAGTCCAAAGAAAAATGATACTTACTTCACTTGGTTACTTGAACTTTTTTATTTCCAGTGTGTATTGTCACAGCAGGCATTGTATGTTATATACTAGATGATTGTATGACTTTAGAGACACATTAATTTATATTCTTGGTTCTTAGGCCAAACATAAGTTTTTTTTTTCTTTTCTCCATACTGTTAAGCCCTTGAATATGGCATCATCTACCCCATCTCTGGGTAGAATTTGTTTTTAGTAAGTATTTTCTGGTAATGTTGATAGGAGTATAATGAGTTGTATTTGTGAATCAGTTTGGTCTCCTCTGCATCCTCTGCTTTCAAACTTCCCCCGTTTTAATGTCATCAGGCCATTTTCTCAGTCCTCTCAAGAAAAACCGATGGCAATATATTTGTAGTGGAGCCTCAGGAGCCAGTTTCATTATTCTCACCCACAAACTCCCTCTCCAGAGTTACACTACAAATCTTTGTTTTTCTTGTTTATCTAGAGTTCCCTGACAGTACACTTCACTGACTTCTTAAGGTTTCTCCCTGCTTGGCAACATTTTTCACAAGAAGCTCTCCAAGGACCATGAGAGTATCTCAGAAATGTAACTGCCTGCCTATAGAGCAGCACAAACTCAGCTTTACATCCTGAAAGCTTTCTAAAAATTTAGTTACCTGGTTTAATGGCATCAAATTAGGATTACGTGTCTTTAAAGGTAAAGCCTGACTATATAGCGACAGAACAAAAATTATTTTCTATAGCTATATATCATAGATCTTATGACATTTTTTTTGTTCCAAGGATAACAATATGAATATCTGCTTCTAGGTGGCTGGATTATGTTTTAATTAAAGTGTACATAGAGAGAGGTCAAGTTTGACAAAATGTAAATTCTGCCCAGACTATTCAAGGTTATTTCAATTTTACCCAGACTTTTGAATTTTACAGTTGCAAAGTAATATCAGAGAAAATGGAATATATTTTTGTCTACTACTTCTTAGTATACACATAGAATTCTTGCTGAAGCAGAGGGTTTCTAAAGACGGCCACAAATAGGCAGTTTTGGTAAACACTAAATAAATGGTATCCTTTTGTTTATTAAGGACACTCCTTGTTATACATAAAAGGAGAGTAAATGGATGGTGGTACTGTTTATTTAGTTTTCTAAGTCTTTCTGGAGGGTGGGAATATATTCATGGAGATTCAAGAAGACACACACAGCTCAATGAACTACAAAAGAGTGAACTTAAAGAGAATACATGCATGAGAGACAAATTGCAAATCCCATTTGTTGTCTGGTACCAAGATAGACACAAATTTCACTATTTTTTCTGTTTTATATATTTGGGAAAGTAATTGTAAACAGTATTGGGAGAGTGCAGAAATAAATATTTTGTTAATTTTAATGACAAATTTACTGCCTGAGTCATATTGATTTTGGGATATTCTTATTCTGCTATTTATGATATGTGATGATGAATGAGACTGAAGTAGCCAACAGAAGATTCCATTTATAATCAATTAAATTGAAGAATGCAAATTAGTATGCTGCTCATACTAACATGTGGTAGAATGTCTATTTCACATGAACTAATTAGTAAATCTTCTTTTTACTTGTTTTAAGAATATTGAGAATGCCAAGCATCTATAGATTACAGAAGTAATGATCTTCAGTGCTTTCAATCCCTTTTGAGAGTATATGGGATGGAAGCTAGCTCAGTAGCTAAGAGCACTTTCTTCTCTTTTAGAAGAGAGGAGTTGGATTCTCAGCACTCAAGTTGGGAGGGTTACACTGCCTGTAACTTCAGCTCCAGAAGATCCTATTCCCTCTATCCTGCATGTGTACCTGGACCCATGTTCATCGACATCGTAAAAATAAAAAACAAATAAACTTTAATAGTTTTGAGTGTATAAAGTAAATGTCTTAATAACTATATGGTATTGTTTAAAAAAAGATATCAATAAAAGACTACTAGATTTTGACATATATACAAGACATCTATCTTTTTGTCTTCAAGCACATATATTTGCTAAACTGGAGGTGGGCAAACAGAAGCTTAGAAATAGAAATATATTGAGATATTTATGTTCTTTATTCAATAGGATTTTTGCTAAGTAGAGAATTGCAAGAACAATCACAAGCCTAGGTACATCAATGATACTAATTTGCAATCATCTTAATGAGAAAAGAAACACAAAACAAATGGAAGGAAAGAAAACATGGCGAAATAGTATATTGCTAAGTTATAACTGAAATAATTAGAAATCTAAAGTATATTAAAACAAATAATTTAAAAGTCTGTTGCACTACGGCTAAGAGGAACTATAACCTAACATTATTCTGTGAAAAAATAAATCTTAAATTATCTCAGCATAAAACAAACATGCTGATAAAAATTATTATGATGACTAACAGACAATAAGGAAAATCATAAATGATGGATGAATATCACATATTCTCTTATCGGATGGATTCTAAATTCAAATGCAAA